TGAAGAAGAGAAAGAAGATAAAGTTTGATAAAGTAAAAAGAAGATAAAGTTTTAAATCGAAAATTATTGCAAATAGTTTTTTTTGATTTTAGTCAAAGGAAACCTCTACACTTAGTTGAAGTAAATGATTTTTTAAGTAAATTGTAATAAATTAATTTCAAAAAAAAAAGTTTAGAGAAATTGCAAAAAAATAATCAAGATTTGGGAGACAACTTGTAACTAGCACTGTTAATCGGGTTTATACGATTGATAGGTTTAGTTGCTGCTTTCAGTTAGTCAGTCACTACAATTCTACCGCTTCTGCACTGTTTTTAGATGTATCCAACATTTTTTCGTATCGTACCTGGTGACCAAAATTTGAATAATGCACGAGGTCGTTTCATATCCCGGTTTCACTGGAAAAAAGTGGGCACGTTAAAACAAAGCGATGATCCCAAATATGCTCTGGTAAGTTAAAAAATGCTACTCCAATAGAATTACGAAATTTCGATGCAGGCAACAGTAAGAAGTTGTTATGTTTAAACGATGTTAAAATATAAACGGAAAAGGAAACAATGAGGAACTGAATTGCGTGTGGAGGATTTTTAATGACGGCCTCGTAATGATGGTAATTGGAATTGTAGTTGACAAAAAAGGCTGCAAAGGAATAATTATAAGCACTTTGTTTATTTTCATCCTCAATTGGATCACTTTTTTCTCGTCGGAAAAAATTTTTTTATTTTTCAAATTTTGCATTTTTTTGTTATTATTGCCATTATTTACTTAAAAAAGACACCTAAGTTATTTAGAGAGGTGAATAAAATAAGTATTTTGACTGTCTCGCTTTTTTTTTTGTTGAAGATTTATTGCCAGCAATTCGTCATCTTTCTGCTATGTGTAACGACGAATTATAAAAGTCAAAAGTTTTATGTCTCTTTCTTTCCATCTTATTCTTTATTTCTTTTTTTTCTTCTGTCATATTTAGAGTTGTTTTGTGACAATAATGAAATTGAAATGGAAAATATATGTGTGTAGATACGAAAAGAACAATCAAAAAAAAAAGTTGAAAAAAACGAATTGTTTTTTCAAAGTATGTGTATTTTTCATATTTTCTTGTTTCAATTTTTACTCCTTTTTTTACACTGCTTTTTGTTTCCTTATGTCAAAAGAGAAAAAAAGAAAAGGGCAAAAAAATTGAAATTAAAATATCCAAGAAAAATTTCCGGATGTTTTTTTTCTTTGCTCGTTGCAAACTGCCCCAGAATTGCAACAAACTCTTCAATCATCTTCAATTTGAACTTCAACTTCCCCACTTGTCATATTTATTGGTCAGCTTTTTGACATAAATGCTTATTTTTTACTTAGATGACTTTATCAGAAAGTAGTCGTTGTAGTCGTCGTTCCTTCTTAGCCGCCATCGTTGTCGTTATCGATGCCGTCATCATCGTCATCGTCGCTACTGTCGATGTCGATGTTGTCGTTGTTATTATCCATAATATTTTTCGGTGACGTTTGAAAAAAAAAGGGATTTTTCTCTTTTTTTTAATTTCAAATTTCAGTTACCCACATAGACAGCGGATGAAAAAGGCAGAGCAAGAATGTAAGTAAACTGTAGGGGTAAAAAAAGGATGAAAAAAAGCTCAGGGCATAAAAAAATGAACTACTGCAGTTGACCTAGTTATGCTGTAAAAAAGGAGACTGTAAAATTAGAGGAAGAATTCTTTTAATTCAGTGAAAGAGAGAATAATGCAAAAAAAGGGTAGGTTAGTAATAATTAAAAAAATAAAAGACATTTTTTCACAACAGGTTTTTGACACTTAATTTACCGCACGACAGTCTGTCCCCTCTTCAGCAAAAGAAATTAAGGAAGAAAAAGTTTTGTTGATGAAAAAGTTTCATTAAGAAAAAACTTTATTTCCGTTCAAATTTGTTCCTGAAGGAAAATTGTTTATAGGTGGATTACTGTAATGTAGAATCATTGCTACAGGGGACGGTATTGCCCGCATGTTATACTGCTTTAAAGCAATCGTGGAACAAATAATTGTTTCCGTTTAGCCTGTGTCAACAATAACACCATGTAGACAAGAAAAACTGTGCCATGGCCACTGGAAATGAGCGGATTTTTTTTTTTTTTTTTTTT